CTCCAGAGCCTCCCCAAGGGCTGCATCTCACTAGCCCAGCCTGGAAGTCACTTTATGGGATGGTCTGGTGCTCCAGGCCCTTCACCAGGGCCTCCCCAGGGGCTGCATCTCACCAGCCCAGCCTGGAAGTCACTTTATGGGATGGTCTGGTGCTCCAGGCCCTTCACCAGGGCCTCCCCAGGGGCTGCATCTCACCAGCCCAGCCTGGAAGTCACTTTATGGGATGGTCTGGTGCTCCAGGCCCTTCACCAGGGCCTCCCCAGGGGCTGCATCTCACCAGCCCAGCCTGGAAGTCACTTTATGGGATGGTCTGGTGCTCCAGGCCCTTCACCAGGGCCTCCCCAGGGGCTGCATCTCACCAGCCCAGCCTGGAAGTCACTTTATGGGATGGTCTGGTGCTCCAGGCCCTTCACCAGGGCCTCCCCAGGGGCTGCATCTCACCAGCCCAGCCTGGAAGTCACTTTATGGGATGGTCTGTCCCACCTGGTGCTCCAGGAGCTGCTCCAGAGCCTCCCCAAGGGCTGCATCTCACTAGCCTGGAAGTCACTTTATGGGATGGTCTGTCCCACCTGGTGCTCCAGGGCCTTCTCCAGAGCCTCCCCAAGGGCTGCATCTCACTAGCCTGGAAGTCACTTTATGGGATGGTCTGTCCCACCTGGTGCTCCAGGGCCTTCTCCAGAGCCTCCCCAAGGGCTGCATCTCACTAGCCTGGAAGTCACTTTATGGGATGGTCTGTCCCACCTGGTGCTCCAGGGCCTTCTCCAGAGCCTCCCCAAGGGCTGCATCTCACTAGCCTGGAAGTCACTTTATGGGATGGTCTGTCCCACCTGGTGCTCCAGGGCCTTCTCCAGAGCCTCCCCAAGGGCTGCATCTCACTAGCCTGGAAGTCACTTTATGGGATGGTCTGTCCCACCTGGTGCTCCAGGGCCTTCTCCAGAGCCTCCCCAAGGGCTGCATCTCACTAGCCTGGAAGTCACTTTATGGGATGGTCTGTCCCACCTGGTGCTCCAGGGCCTTCTCCAGAGCCTCCCCAAGGGCTGCATCTCACTAGCCTGGAAGTCACTTTATGGGATGGTCTGTCCCACCTGGTGCTCCAGGGCCTTCTCCAGAGCCTCCCCAAGGGCTGCATCTCACTAGCCTGGAAGTCACTTTATGGGATGGTCTGTCCCACCTGGTGCTCCAGGGCCTTCTCCAGAGCCTCCCCAAGGGCTGCATCTCACTAGCCTGGAAGTCACTTTATGGGATGGTCTGTCCCACCTGGTGCTCCAGGGCCTTCTCCAGAGCCTCCCCAAGGGCTGCATCTCACTAGCCTGGAAGTCACTTTATGGGATGGTCTGTCCCACCTGGTGCTCCAGGGCCTTCTCCAGAGCCTCCCCAAGGGCTGCATCTCACTAGCCTGGAAGTCACTTTATGGGATGGTCTGTCCCACCTGGTGCTCCAGGGCCTTCTCCAGAGCCTCCCCAAGGGCTGCATCTCACTAGCCTGGAAGTCACTTTATGGGATGGTCTGTCCCACCTGGTGCTCCAGGGCCTTCTCCAGAGCCTCCCCAAGGGCTGCATCTCACTAGCCTGGAAGTCACTTTATGGGATGGTCTGTCCCACCTGGTGCTCCAGGGCCTTCTCCAGAGCCTCCCCAAGGGCTGCATCTCACTAGCCTGGAAGTCACTTTATGGGATGGTCTGTCCCACCTGGTGCTCCAGGGCCTTCTCCAGAGCCTCCCCAAGGGCTGCATCTCACTAGCCTGGAAGTCACTTTATGGGATGGTCTGTCCCACCTGGTGCTCCAGGGCCTTCTCCAGAGCCTCCCCAAGGGCTGCATCTCACTAGCCTGGAAGTCATTTCTTGGGACTTTGCTGAGATAAGGAGTGTCTCTTTTCCCTGGAACTGGACAGGAGTAAAAAGCCCCACTGGGTGGGAATGCTCAGCTCACATGCCCTAAAGCCTGTGGGAGGGGTGCAGGTGTGAGCCCGGGGGTGTTTGTTCCCAAGGGATGCTCTGAGCACACACCAACCAGCTGCTTTGCCATCTTTGCAGGTCAATGGACTATAAGAGGATGGCAGAGGAAGTCTCAGGAAAAATCTTCTCATACAGTCAAGATACCTCAGGATGGAGGGTGATCAAAGTTTCTGTAAGAAAACATCAGTTTAGTTTATGCCATTATTAAGTACATTTTCTTGCCAAAAGTGTTTAAATCTGTCTTCCTGTTAGTTGACAACTTTGTACCCACTGCTAAGTTTTTATTTTTCCTTTTTCTACTTGGAGAAAAATGTTACAGTTTCCTCAAAGCCTTCAAAAGAGTATGCAGGAAATATGTAAGTATTTACATTTTGTTTGTCCTTGCAATGAGTAACAGCACCTTTTTTGAACAGTGACACCCAAGACTGAAATAGGAGAGTTAACCATCTTCTGCCCCTGGTGGGATGAGGTTGGTTAGGAGATGTTGTGTTCACACTGGGCCAGCAGTAGGGCTGGAATGCAAAAGATGGGTTTCCCAAGGGATTTTCAAGCCTGCTGTGAAAATTGAATACTGTGGAACAGTTGCTAATATGGAATAAGTAGCTATGAGGTGACAGTGACTGTTCCTGGTGGAATATTCTAAACAAGCCATTACATCTTCACTCTCCACCCCTTCCCACACACCCAGATGTGCTTGTGCTCCTGCTCTACCTCATCTGTCCTTTGTACCTTTCCCTTTCTGGCACCCACATGGACAGCTGTTTGCATCTTCAGTTTGACACTGAACATTGATTGACCACAGATCACAAATGCCAGTTTATGTTTTAATTGGCAGGAGTCTTAGCAGTTTGCTTTACTTGCTGAAAGGAATCTGGTGGTGAAAAGCAACCAAGTCAGCAGAGGTCGAGGGAGCACTGAGGTGATTGTTCAAGGCTGGGGAGGGTTTTGTTTGGAATTCTGTCACCTGAGCTCAAGAAAGACAAGTGTGGATTTCAGTTTGTCTAAGGTAGTGAGCCTAGGTTGGGTGATTTTTCCCACGTGGGCCCTTTCTTCTAGCAAGGGTGTCTTTCAGAAGCCTTGTCTAGAAGAAGTCCTCCTGCTTGGGAGCTCCCACTGAGCTTAGGTGAGAAGATACTTTGGGATGCAGGTGAGCTGCTGAGGGCCTTGGTAAACAGAAGTCCATGAGAGTTCATGGAAACAAAGGGTGTATCCAAAGAGGAACGTGCTGGTTTCAACTTGCCCTGTCAGAGCTTGTACCTGCTGGTTTTGAGTAGGCATGAAGGTGTTTTCCATCACCAAGGCACCTGCTGTAGTCAGTGGAGAAGTGAGTTCCTGGAGCAGCCTGACGTGCCCACGCTGGGCCCTGCTGCTGAGTGAAGGAGGAGATCCAGGCTTCCCATCATGTTGCTCTGTGTTTGGGTTGGAGCTTGGCTATCTTTGCCCTTCCTGACTTCCACTCCTGCATCATCAGGGCCTGTGCATCTGATTTTATCTTTCTTAACCTGTTTGCAAGCCAGGTGTCCTTCGAGCTCACCTACTGTCGTGCAGTGTCCTTCACCTTCGCTTTGAATCGCTGTCCCAGTGGCTACCCTTGTGATTCACAGTCTTTCCAGGAACTAGGTGTGAGAACTGTCAGTTCCCAGCACCACAGGAGGTTCCTGTTTCCTTGGGAGAGGCCCCTCTTCCCTTCTGTGAACTTTCCCTTCCAACTCCTCAAAAGATTATGAGCAGAAATTGGAGAAATGCCAGAACGTGCTCATTCATAAACAGTGAGATTTGCAGTCAGAGTCAAAATGGATTGAAAGTACCTGGAGATAAATTAATAGATGAATTGCATGTATTTTGATTACCAGGTTCCTATTGAATAGCTCACAAATAACTCATTTAAAACGTGTGGTGTCAAGAATGTAATGGTCTCAAAGATCAGATATAGAATAAAAATTGAATATGCCTTGAATTTTGAGCAATCCATGAAGTGCAACCCCATTTGTGTGCCTTACCTCATTATAGCCCACCTGCTAGATGCTTATTTTTGTGTAACTTATTTTTCCAGTCATAAATGTGAAGTCCATATCTTGTTTCTTCCACCATCCAGATACCGTGGAGAAGGGATAATTCAGGAAGTCCCTAGTAAAATCATCCCTTTTATGTATCTTCCTGAACATCGGAGAAAATGGGACAAGGCATTGCAGTCTTACAAGCTGTTAGAAAGGATTGACCAGGTAATTTTTCATACAAAGACTTCATTTAACTCTTTCTGCATGAATTACAGTGACCACAAAGGTCTCTACTGGGACAAAGAAAGCTCTTGGTCCAAAATAAGGGGTCTCAGAACATATTACATGTGTGTGAACAACTCAGCTGTAAAAAAAGCCCACCCTAAGCTGGAAATGAAAAAATCCTCCCCTTTTGGTCTTCCCTGAATCTCTCTCTCACTTCCCTCTGCTGGAGTTGTAGGATGCAGTGGTACATCCAACCATGTCTTGGCTTTTTTTGGAGCTGAGTTAGTTTCCCAGCTGACACATCTGTCCTGGGGGCAACGTGCAGCCTGGCATGTGTAGTGGATGCAGGTGGACATTCTGTTCTTCTGTTTTTACCCACTAAACATGCACATTTTGAGGTTTTGACACAGCTATTCTATTTCTGCCTCAAACCTAGGCCTCAGGGAATGGCAGTGAATCCCTACCCTGTGCTCCTGGAAGATCCCTTTCCTGGTCCTCCTGTTAGTTCAGCCCAGCATTAACTGGGCACAAGAACTGTCACAAGAACTGTCACTAACAAAGCAGGAATTCATTTTTGCCACACTTTCATTATTCAGCATGTAACACTGCTTTGCCAGTGAAATCAAACTTGGCTCCTTGCATGCTAATTAAACAACTTGCTTGCTTGTAGGACACTGGTATCTACCACAGTGTAACACACAGCTATGGCATGGGACTGGTTTCAGCACGAGATTTTGTTGACCTGCTGCATGTTAAGCCCTACCCTGGGGATGTCCTCACAACTAACTGTAAGTGTAACCACTGCCTGTGTTCATGTTTTGGGTGCCTCCTGGGAACCCTCAGGTGAAGGGCTGCAGTATTCCCCTCTTCTGTTTATCCCCAAAACAAAGCTGGTTGGTTGGGGTTTTTTGTAATACTGAAATGATCAAAATTGATCTCCAACAAAAATACTGTTGTTTAGTCTCTTGTTATGCCTCTCTTTGAAAAATAGGAAGAATGGTTTGGGCTAGAAGGGACCTTGAAGATCATCCAGATCCAACCCCCCTGCATGGGCAGGGACACCTCCCACCAGCCCAGGTTGCTCCAAGCCCCATCCAACCTGCCCTTCAACACTGCCAGGGATGGGGCAGCCACAGCTTCTCTGGGCAACCTGGGCCAGGCTCTCACCACCCTCACACCAAAGAATTTCCTCCTCATGTCTCACCTCAATCTCCCTTCTTCCAGCTTGAAACCATTACCCCTCATCCTACACTCTGGTAAAAACATAGTAGTATAAGGAAGTTAGAATTTATCATTTCACTGTATAAATCTAGTGCTTATTTAGTAACATTTCTCTGCACTTGGGTGGCTTCCTGAACAAATGCTTTTTGCCTAATATGCTCTTCTCAGTGTGAGCCTAATTTGCCCCATTTTTTATACTCTTTTGGTTTGGCTCTGTAAATGGTAGTGTGAGGATAAGGGGTGATGGCTTAAAACTGGAAGAGGGGAGATTGAGGTGAGACATGAGGAGGAAATTCTTTGGTGTGAGGGTGGTGAGAGCCTGGCCCAGGTTGCCCAGAGAAGCTGTGGCTGCCCCATCCCTGGCAGTGTTGAAGGGCAGGTTGGATGGGGCTTGGAGCAGCCTGGGCTGGTGGGAGGTGTCCCTGCCCATGCAGGGGGGTTGGAACCTGATGATCCTTAAGGTCCCTTCCAAGCTGAACCATTCTGTGGTTCTAGGAGCACCACAGCCATGGGGTAACCAGGGACACCCCTCACTGCTGCCCCAGTTCCTTGCTAACCTCTTTCCTTCGTGTGACTCCCTGGTACACAGCAGGAACTCTCCTGACCTGTCAGTTTCTTCCCAGCCATACTCTTACAATACTTTGATTGTGCAAAACTAATGGATAACTCAACAAAACAACCCCTCCTAAGGATTTCTCTGCATGTGTGCAGCAGTTTCCTCATCCTCTCTGCAACTGCCTTTACTACTTAATGACATCTGCTGACAAACTGACTCGGTTGTCCAAGGCCTCAGCCCCACCCCAGCACTCAGGAATGTGTAACCAGGTCTCAAGGACAAGACTTTGTGCACACCTGCCCAAACATCTAGAGAAACTTCCACCAATATTTCATGTCCTTCAGGTGTTTTGTGGGCAGGATGGAATTGCTGGACACATCAGCGACTGAAAGACCTTGTACTGGTCCTGTCGCAGTTGGGGTGGGTTGATTTCAAAGGTGTTTTTGAGTCATAGGATTGACTTCTAGACTTAACTGGATTTTGCTCTCTGTGTGTGGTGCTGTAGCTGTCAGCGTTGAACACTCCAGCTGCCCTCCGACTCCCTCTTGTGTCCGAGGATATAACAATCCCTGCGGATACGTCTGTTCCCCTTTGCCCGAGTAAGTATTTAAAGCCCCCTTATATTAACATCTTTAGTTACTGAGTTGTCCTCTCTGGACAAAGCTTAACATTTCCTGAACCACACAGCTTTTAATTTTTTTTAGATTAATTTTATTTAGACAGTTTTATTCTGGAGACTTTTGTGCAGTTTTGAAACAATTGAGAAACTCTTCCCTATCTTTTACATCTTTGCCTTAGTAATTTCCAGGGAGATGGGCTATAAATGGGAAATGTGTGAAGTTTCATAGCAAGAGTAATGAGTAGGAAATAAAGGCTTTTCCTCCTTTCATTACAGGAATCCAGAGCATTCCAAGCTAGTTGTATTTATTCAGCCAGAACTAGGAGGGATGCTTCCCTGTTCTGTAGTGGAGTCAGTGCTCCCTGCTACTCTCATCAACTTAATCACTGCAACAAAAGCTGGACTGAAAAGCCTGGGAGCCCATAACTAAATGTAAGTGGGAAACAACAAGCACTTCAGTCACATGCATCTTTTACTGGGGTTTGTTTTTCAAGTCGATGCTGAAGTTGATTTTAATTGTGGTTTGTGTGGAAATGTATAAAGTTTAACTGTTGGGAAGGGGATTGCTGGTTTTGCTCTGCTCTGGGGGATGATGCAAGAAATTTTTGTGCCATCAAAGCACAGGATGTTACTTTCACTGTAATCAGGAGATGTTTGATAATATTTTTGCACTTTACATGCAGATAAAATATATATATATATTCCTAAACAGACACATGAGAATCTGGAGATCTAAGTGTTAAGGCACAGCAGTCAAATATTTTGCCATAGCTTGAAACACACTTTAATAAATCCTTACCTCAATTATGTACTCTTGACTGAAAGAAGCAAACATCTTGTGCACTAGAGGCTTTAAACATGTTTATTAACTGTTAAGTGTGCAAGTGTAATTAGCAACTGTTTCACTGTTTTGGAATTAAGTATTTGAAGAAAAGCCTGATGAGTTTGTATCTAGCATGTCATTAAAAGCTGCTCTTTATACACAGAGCTGTTTGTCATTTCCTCAATCCTGAGCACCAAACCTAAACCATTTTTACATGCCAACTGGTTTCCAGGAACAACCTGGTGAAATGATTGATTTTCCATTCCCCCTTAGTTCTTCTAGGACCTCTAGTTATTAGGAGTCAACTGCAGGACGCAGTGATGGCCACAGGAATGGCCATTTCCACTACAACTCACAGTGTAAATTGATTTCATCTTCTCTGCTCAACCCCTTCCTAAAGATCCGTAAGAAAAATGTCTATTTATAAGAAGGAAAAATAAGACAAACTAGTTACTACTTCAACAGGGCCACCAGCAGGTTTGATGTCAACAGTTGCCAAAATACCTCTTCAATATTAACATCTACCCAGTAAACTTTTCCTAGCTAAGGTGCTTTCAAGTGCTGATTCTTACAGTGTCTCTATTCTGAAAAATGTTTCACTGTGGTTTGAAATACCTTAGCAAACTGTTGGACTGTGATAAACATGGGGCTGTGTTCCTTCTTCCTTTATTTGTTCTAGGCTTTTCAGGGGCTTTCTTTTCCAGAGAAGCCTTGGACACAGGGCTCTGGTTCTTCCATTCAGCTAGCAGTTCTTCCTGCACATCTGCAGGTAGTTCATAAAAAGTCTTTGTGTCAACATGAGGAGGAAGAACAATCCCTGCTTGCCTCCTGCAAGTTGTATCCTCAGAAGTTGTTTCAAAGGCCTGCTTATCTTGCTCCAAGCCAGGGACATGCAGGGCTTCCAGAGGTGACAGACCTTTCTCTCTGAAGTTTGGAGAGTCCATGGGTTGTTCTTCCACTCTGCTGGTTGCCAGTGCACTCCTGGAACACTCAGAAGAACAACTGGGCCTGGAGCTGTGGTCACTGCACCCTGCAGAGTCACCCTCCAGTCCCTGACAACCTGGGGAGTTGCTCTGTCCCTCCTCTGCAGAACCTCCTGCTGGCTGACCCAGAACGTTCTCTCTAGGGATCTCTTCTGCTTTTCCAGAAATAATTTCTTTTTGAATAGCTTCTGGAAGTTCTCTGAAGACTTCCTGGTCAATATCACCAGGAGACAAACCAAATGGCAAGTCAGGAATTCCTCCTTTTTTTATATTGCTTTTCTTTTCCTCGGAAAGCTTCCTAGTTTTTGTGGCTCCAGTGCTGTTGCAGTTCTGGTTCCAGGAAGCACTTCCCTCACCTTGTGAGACATCTTCCACTTCCTGTGGCAAAAAACATACATAAAAGCATAAGTGTTTTCTGTGTAATCTACTAGTGACCAAGCATGATTTTGCTAATAGCAAGTTCTCAAAATTATTCCTTAACAGACAGCAATTTTTTTTTTCCCTTATGATCAACAGTGATTTTTTATAACTTAATTCCAAACACAGACCTTAAAAAGTACACACATGTAGGAAGTCTTTCCTTATTTTACAGTAACAAATACCTTGAAGTTATATTTTATTCCTTTAAAACCCTCTGTAGCTTTAGAAACCACGAGATCATGTTATCCCACCTATTCCTGAGCAGAAAGAGACAGTTAATCAATATGAAACATTGGCTCCTTCAAGGCAGAAACAGTAAATTCATCCCACAACATAATTCTGAAGTTACTCAGGTTTTGGGTGAGGTACTGAAAGCATCTTGTGGAAGTTCTCAGCCACACAGAGCTCCCACACTCTAGCAGTTGGGAGGCAGGAGGTGTGTTCAATCCCAAGCAGGAATCAGGAGCTCACTAGATCAGAAGCTGGTGCTGGCAGCCAATGCAGAAAAGAATCTTTGGTATCTAGTCTGAAGAGGGAGACTTGAGAGTGGATAGGAAGGTAAATAGTCACTCTGAAAGGATCTTAATAGAAGCAAAGAGGTAAAGCAGCAGCAGCAGCTTCAAGGAGGGTGTAGTCCAAGGTAAGAGATGCTTCAGCATGACAGCATCTGAGGAAGTGGCCTGTTTCACCAGTGCTAAACAAAGGGCAGGTCTGGCTGGAATGCACAGCACTTCTTCTTAGGAGATGGAAGTTTGGATTTGTCCCTCAGTGAATTGTATTCCCTTCAGCTAAGGGCCCTGGTACCCCCTGGCTGCCCCACTCCAGCCAGTATCACATCTCTTTTAAGCCATCTATCTAATTAGAGGAAGCAAACAAGTTACACTTTCTCACAAGACTCCAGGTCACTCTTTATTTGTACCAGGTGAATAAAACCTATGATCCTAAAACTTTCAAAGCAGTTAAGTTCTAAATCTATAGAACAAAGCCAGAACCATCCCAGAACTCTAATCTGTAAAGTTTTCAGGATCTTTTCAGCTTACCTGGCCACGTTTACCAGAGCCTGATGGTGGTGACATCTGCTTGAGATAGAAGCCAATGGATCCTTTCTTGCTGCTAGGATGGTCTTTGAGGTTGGAGAAGCAGACACTCAGAAGGGTGAGATGAAAGGGAAGATCCACATCTATCATCTTTCGAAAGAGCTTCATCAGGACATTAACCAATGGGGATACAATGTTGCTGCCTTCTACAAGAAAAGAGGTTAAAAAAAGCAATAGATATGATCAAGAGTTACTGACTGAGTCATACTGGTTGAAATAGGCAAGTCCAAAGGCAGATACTGCTAAAGGCTTCAAAAATAATCTCTCAGCACAGTCATTAAGATGTTATGTTGGGGGCACCAGAATTAGACCCCACTAGAGAACTGTGTCCAGTTCTGGAGCCCCCAACACAAGAAGGACATGGAGCTCCTGGAGAGTCCAGAGAAGGGCCACAAAGATGATCCAAGGGCTGGAGCAGCTCTGCTCTGGAGCCAGGCTGAGAGAGTTGGGGTGTTCAGCCTAGAGAAGAGAAGGCTCCAGGGAGACCTTAGAGCAGCTTCCAGTGCCTGAAGGGGCTCCAGGAAAGCTGGGGAGGGGCTTGGGACAAGGGGTAATGGAGAGGACAAGGGATAATGGATTAAAACTGGAGGAGGGAGATTTAGGTGAGACATGAGGAGGAAATTCTTTGCTGTGAGGGTGGTGAGATCCTGAGTGCTGCTACAGCAGTGATTCACATTGATTTCCTCACCCCCATCTGAGTGAAGTGTCCAATAAATTGGAATTGCAGGTTGGAAGGATGACACAGGAGAAGGATGGGAGCCTTCATGTGATTCATTTTCAGAGGCACATCAACAGACACTTCACTGCATCATCAAATGGAGACCAGAATTCAAATCCCCAACAGAGAAAAGCAGATTATTAATCTGGGAAACAGCCCCTTGTTGCCTTTCCCCATCCCAGCAGGAAATTGACTGCCAAGAATCCAGGCAGTTAAAACATCATCATAACACAGATTATTCCTACAGGGAAGATCAATACGTTTTTAGCATCCATTACTAGTCATGGAAAAGTTTCCAAATATAGGGAATATCATCATGAAATGAAGGAGCAGAATTTTACAGAGGAGTTCAGGAGCAGCAGCACCAATACTTCCAAGAAGTCTTATGTTTACCTTTCCCAATCTTCTGAAGGAGCTGAGGGGGAATAGGACACTGGCGGCTTTCCCGGCTGAACCAGCGGTTGGTGGAGGAGAACTGGCGAATGGTCAACCTGACTGTGTGGGGCTGTCTTCCATCTTTCTGGATTCTAGGGAACATGAAGGTGTAGAAAGCCATTAGAGGGTCTGCCAGAGCAGCTAGGTTACAAAGTCACTTAATGGAAGCATGACAGATCATCATAGAATGGGTTGGAAAAGATCATCTAAGTCCCACGGGCAGGGACACCTCCCACCAGCCCAGGTTGCTCCAAGCCCCATCCAACCTGCCCTTCAACACTTGGAACAGCAGACATGCATCAGTGGTGATCACCAAAGGTCTGAAAGTAAAGTCACTTCTGGAGAATGAAAGGTCCCCACAGGGATAAGGGGAGATGCCCTAAAACCTGTGGTGCACAACTAAAGCACCAGGGCAGGACCATGCAAGGTGTGGGGGCCAGACAAAAGGTGGGGGCAAGAGAGAAGTGGGACAATCCCTAAAGACAATCCATAAGCTGAGGAAAAAAAGGCCAAAGGGGAGGCTGGAGAAGCAGGTGCTATCCCTGCAGAGACAGTTTGCTAAGAGATGGAATGCAGAGGGTGAGACAAACCTAACAAAAGCCCCTCCAGGTCATAATTCCAGTCATCCAAAAGAGACAGTCACCTGTCTAATAGGTTAGGAAGCAGCTCTTCAAGTTTCTTTTTAACTTCCTCTTCTGATGAACATTTTTTAAAGGAATCTTCATCACTAAAGGACTGAAAAAACCCACATTAGTCCTTTCAATTTTCTGTTCAAAATTCTGAAGAGGAAAAAAAAAGTATCACCATGAAGAGTGTAGAACTAAGCCCAAGATATCTTTGGGACTCAGAGCTCAACTGAATTTCAGGAGAATTAGAAGTTATTTTCAGTTGAGAATGCATTCAAAAGACATCATTTTGGGTAGTCAGCAAAGCTGTATAAAAGTAAAAGCAATTTTTTGGGTGCTGATTATAATAATCCTTGTACCTGAGGAGGGCCTGAGGGAGTCACAGGGGAGTCATCTTCTCCATAGCTGAGTTTTTGGATACGCTGAGCAACAGAAACACCCAGTTCCTTCTCTAACACAGCAGATGGAAATGTTTGGAGGTCACACAGGTTCCTAACACCCAACGTCTCCAGACGTTTGCTGGTTTTGTAGCCAATGCCTAAACAAAATGTGTAGTGAAATACACAGAAAAGTGAAAATATACACACACACACACATATATATTAAAAATGCCCATCCATGTCATACCTGACAAGGAAAATTCCTTCCTCAGAGCATTTTATCAGGCACCAATAGACTGTTTGGATTAACTGTTTGAATTAAGTCAGCGAGTTGCAAAATGTTTGTATTTAAAGCAACGTCAATGTATCAACTTCAATGTTTGGGCTTTGATAAAAACAAACGAGTTTAGTGGTCAAGCACTTGTCAAGTGCTGCAACACATTTAGGTCACATGAAGGAAACCAAAGGCCTTTCATTCCTCCTGCTAAATCAAACTCAAACAGCTTATGAATAAAAAAAAGCAAGCATCCTAAACACACTTGTTTGTGAGAACTAGATTTAAAAATCATTATATTTATCATTTTGTCAGTGTTTTTTTTTCTTCTCATCTGAGGAGCTGTCAACATGGTCACCATCTATGCTCACAGCACCACACTTACCAGGCACTTTCTGGATGTGATCAAGGCTGCACATCAGATCTTGGCAGCTTTCAGGCAGAAGAACAGTTTGCTGGTTTGGTTTAAAGGTGCCAGACACTAGTTTAGACAGCACTTTGTTCCAGGCCACCCCTGCACAGCCTGTGAGGCCCAGTCTGGCACAGATGGCTCCCCTGAGCTCTTCTGCAACCTGAGATCCAATAACTAGTTTTACGTGCCTTGTGTCATGCAGATTGATAGCTGGAAAGAAAGAAAAGCAGTGTTCAGGATCTACACAGTCACCTAGTTAGTTAATTTGCTTGATTTAGACACTTTCTATGTTGCATTAGGATCTGATGGGTCAAATGGTATTGCTGTGGCTTCTGGACCCATGTTTAACCTCTCTCTTATCTCCCCAAAATCCTGGCACCAATGAGACTACTGCTGTCCAAAACCAGGGCTGTGCTGTCCAGGAGGCATCATGTTTAGGGACCATTTGAAATAGAAAAGAGATGAAAGAAAAATGTTGAATATCAGAGATTCTGGTAGAAATGGAACCAAAGCAGAGATGTCTGTAATACAGAGAGGGCTGCCTTGCAGCTAAGCCTGTATTACTCAAATGCAATTGAGGGAAAGGACTATTCAGGCATTTCCCTCCTCTCAAACCACACTTTAAGCCATTGAAATAGCTCAGAGTCCAGGAAAAAACCAACTGCTTTCCTTCCTGGTGCACACTGCATACAGCTCTGGAGTCCTCAGCACAGGAAGGGCATGGAGCTGTTGGAGAGGGTCCAGAGAAGGGTCATGAAGATGCTCCAAGGGCTGGAGCAGCTCTGCTCTGGAGCCAGGCTGGGAGAGCTGGGGTGTTCAGCCTGGAGAAGAGAAGGCTCCAGGGAGCCCTGAGAGCAGCTTCCAGTGCCTGAAGGGGCTCCAGGAAAGCTGGGGAGGGACTTGGGACAAGGGCAGGGAGGGATGGGATGAGGGGGATGGATTAAAACTGGAAGAGGGGAGATTGAGGTGAGACATGAGGAGGAAATTCTTTGTTGTGAGGGTGGTGAGACCCTGGCCCAGGTTTCCCAGAGAAGCTGTGGCTGCCCCATCCCTGGCAGTGTTGAAGGGCAGGTTGGATGGGGCTTGGAGCAGCCTGGGCTGGTGGGAGGTGTCCCTGCCCATGCAGGAGGGTTGGAACTAGATGGTCTTTAAGGTCCCTTCCAGCCCAAACCATTCAATGCTTCCTAGTGTACAAAGCAGCTCAGCTACTTCAGTCTCAGGAATTCCACTCCTGACCTAATGCCTATAGCCAAAATTTCCTCTGTTTTTTATTTGTTGAAAAGCTCAGTTTTGCCAACTGACAACAACATTTAAGCTGGAAGAAAATCCTCTCTCTTACTACCTCTAAACTACTTTAAAGGCTCAGAAATGATCATGCAAACCAGTTCTCCCAGATCACTGTACTTGCTTATCTCCCACAGAGCTTGAGTTGTTGTACAATCCAAGTGGGACACTGATTTGCCAACAGAGAAACCAAACATGGAGCAACACAAAGTTTCCAGCTGTTCAGCTCTGGACAACACTTAGAACCAGACAGATAACTTTGTATTGAACTTCAGAAACCTTTTCCTGATGTTCCAACATGAAACAATGTTGAGCTCACCTTGGTTGTTGTACACGTGGCCAGACACACAGACTTGGGAACATCCACTTTGCTGCAGCTGATTTAGTCTCTTCTCAACCATCTCGGTGACATCCACAAAATTTTCATCAAACCCAAGCCTTTCCACCAGTGGACAAAATTCCCCCAACAGCTCTAGGAGGAAGAGATACCCAAGGGTCACAGGCACACGTGAGGGTTTCATAGCTGCATCCACCCACAGCTGATGTCCCAGGGATCCAAGCAGGATGCTGGCATGAAGAGAAACTGTTCTCTTCCAGGTAAAATAATAAAGCACACATTTTAGCAAAGGTGAAAGGGAGTATTTCTTCATCCCACCACTACCTCTGTCATCTGCTTTTCTCCTCCCTAAATCTCTTCTTTCTTCCCTCATTTCTTTTTGAAATGACAGGTTTTAACACTTGCAGTGATTTCTCCTGTGGAGAAATAGTGACCTTGCACAACTGGAAATATTATCCCTGTTGTACGAGGCTCATTCTGGGTAGAACTTTTAGAGCAGGAAAGTGTCCCATACTACAGCACACACATGCAGGTGCACACAGAGTGTTTGTCCTCTCCCCACAACTAGTTCATTTTGTACCTGTAACCTTGTAGGACATTTCCCTGTATGGGGTCAGGTCTTCTCCATTAACCAGCACCAGCTGAGGACATTTCTCTTTAGCATCCTTGACAGACATCAGTTTCTTAACTCCAAGATTTCTGGCTTGATAGTTACAGGTGACAACGAGGGATTTCTGTTGCACACCTAAAGGTAAAGGTTAAATGGTTTTTAAAGTCTTGGTCCTGCCCAGAGCACCACAGCACCTTCCTGCCACTCTGAAGGATGTGCTTTGGTCAGAACACACCACCACAGAAGCAGCAAACAAACCAACCCAGCAGTCTTATTTCACAAGACATCTCTTGATTTAGAGTACTGGATGGTAACAACTTATAAAACCTTATGGATATATATTGATACATGTTTTTTCTTTTCCTTATTGAAACATTGCTCTTAACTTGGGGTCTTTTCAGGCACTCTCAGCCATGAAGGTGCCCTTGATGTCCTAGTCATCCCTCACTCCTGGCTGGAAGGGAACACCCTTGGAGCTGTCACAAGGCTCCTTAGTGGAGCTCAGCCCTCCCTGTGCCTGGGCACCTCAGAAACCAGCTTCTTCAACCCCCTTGGAGCTGTCACAAGGCTCCTTAGTGGAGCTCAGCCCTCCCTGTGCCTGGGCACCTCAGAAACCAGCTTCTTCAACCCCCTTGGAGCTGTCACAAGGCTCCTTAGTGGAGCTCAGCTCTCCCTGTCCCTGGGCACCTCAGAAACCAGCTTCTTCAACCCCCTTGGAGCTGTCACAAGGCTCCTTAGTGGAGCTCAGCCCTCCCTGTGCCTGGGCACCTCAGAAACCAGCTTCTTCAACCCCCTTGGAGCTGTCACAAGGCTCCTTAGTGGAGCTCAGCTCTCCCTGTCCCTGGGCACCTCAGAAACCAGCTTCTTCAACCCCCTTGGAGCTGTCACAAGGCTCCTTAGTGGAGCTCAGCTCTCCCTGTCCCTGGGCACCTCAGAAACCAGCTTCTTCAACCCCCTTGGAGCTGTCACAAGGCTCCTTAGTGGAGCTCAGC